TTGACGGAATTAAAACTACAGGGTCAAAAGTGGTTGAATAACCAAACTATAGGAACCAAAAGTGACTTTTAGCCTTTTTTTTAACCCCCAACCCCAGTAGTAGATAAAATAAAAAATACTTTAAATGATATTCCTAGTTGAAAACATTTATTTTCTATTTGGTGGCAATTTCCGACATGATCCCGTAGACGACTCGAAACCCGCTCGATTAAATTTTGTAGAGTGTTCAAATCCCCTCTTCCCTGTATGTTTTTCTTTGCCATTCAGATCCTCTCCCCTTTGATAAACACAGGAAAAAGGAAGTTGGGAAAACAGGCAATACAAATGCCCAGCCAACACTAAACAAAATATTCAAAGATATCTCTTTAAACTCCTAACAAATATCCGACGGGAAGTTGCAGCCATCAAATAACGGTCAGAATCAGCACAATCTTAAAGATAGGGAGTTGCGCTCATCGATTTACAGAACTCATGTGATTCATGTCACAGTTTCAGCCACTTAGGCTTAACAGGTTTTTTCTCTGCAGGCTTCTTCTCTTGAACAACAGGAGGTGATGCCTCTGGTATCGTTTCTGGTGCAGACTCAACAGGCTCTGCATGCTTAGTGAGGAGTTCCAAACCTTTCAAAGACATGATCTCTTCCTGAAGGAAGGGACCTGACTTGGCATCTGAAGCATCATCTGCTGGACATGACATTACAATAATTAAACATTTCACATTAGCCATTGCTATTTAATTACAATCAAAAGATACATATGATTACATCAGTAAAATAATTTTCAGGTAAAAGTTCTGATTCCTCTGCCGTCACCCAAGACGGGCCAACCCCATAATCATAGAGAAGAGTGTCTCCATTGTGAATATTTCATTTTAAGTTATGAGACCAAAAGGCACGTGCTAACCTTTTGGTATATCATATGAAAAATACACAATTGTACCAGGAACAAAGCCAGCAGAGTAAATGGCATCCTGTGTTATCTGATCATGATCAGTCCTTTTGTTTCGAGGGGAGGGCTGTGGTTGTATGCGATAATATCTATGCCTTATGCTCCAAATTTGGGAGGCTTAGAGCATCCACAATGAGCTTCTTAAACCACCTCCTTAGATAAATTTGAGGGAGGAATTGGAAAAATACAATCTCAACCATGCTCTCTATCCA